AGGAAGTGACCTTGTTTAACTCACGATTATCTATACATAATCGCATGCTACCGTCCTTTTTCTCCACCAAGAGGACTGGTGTTTCCATGAAAATGACTCTGGCAAATAAAACCCTCAGTTAACAACTCATCTAGCTGAGTCTGTAGCTCCCTCGTTTTAGCAAGTGCCATCCGATAAGGTGCTCGGGATATCAGTACTATGCCCGGCTACAACTCAATGCAGGACTCAACCTCTCTCACTAGAGGTAATCTAGTCATGTCCTAAAAGACATCCTGATACTCTGAGACAACTCCGGTCTCACTTAAATCTACACCCCGATCCCGTATCATCACCTCCTCGACGTATGCCAGAAATGACTCTGCAATCTGGTTGCCCTATGAGGTTGCTACTATCTATTCAAACACACGAATGCTCACAAACTGATTGTCTTTACAAAACAGTCTATCCTAACGTGGTAGGATGATAACCAATTCATACCAAGAATAACATCAAACATCAAACATTCACAGGATGACCAAATCGACCACGGGCTCAGACTCGTTTAAACTGACGACACATCTCCTATAGGTACTCTCAAAGAAATACACCTCTCCCAAAGGAGTAGAAACTGATAATAGAATATCAGAAAAGGCTGCGGTACAAGCTGAAGTCTAATCATAATATCATGATAGATAAAAGAATGTAAAGCTTCTGAATCAACAAGATTCGAGCTGGAAAGAAAATCACTAAGAAAGCTCCGCTCGCACCATGATCACACGGTATGACTGCATAAACCCTGCTAGTGGCTAGGGATTGCTACGCTGATGGTAGTAGAACATATGTGACTGTCTGTCCCTTAGGAATCCCCTGGATGGCACGAATCTGGCCTACTGGCCCCTCAATCCTCGAGACGGCTGAAGGTGCCTTAAATCCTCTCTGGATGGCACGAATCTGGCCTACTGGCCCCTCAATCCTCGAGACGGCTGAAGGTGCCTTAAATCCTCTTCTACTAGCCATAACTGTACCCTGAGACTACTGACTCTGACCTTTGTCATGCTGGCCTCTTGCAAGTGTACCATGACAATCATTCACTCTATGTCTGATCTTGTTATAAATGTAACATGCACGCCGAATTCTGCGTTACAGTGGCGCTCTCGAATCATGTTGTAGGTTGTGCTCTCTTCTTATGCTATCCTTGTTGCTCATGGTAAAAACCCTTACCCCGCTGCTGGGGCTCTCTAGATTTCACAATAGGTCTCTTTCCC